AATTTTAAACTTGAACTTTCATTATCGAAGATGAGAGTGAAAACTTCAAAATTAATTTTTTTATTATATTACATTTTGTAAAATTAAGGGATAAAAATTAAGGGATAAAAATTCAGATAAAGAAGAATCTTATAAAGTTGTGTTCGCGATTTACAACCAAAAATATTAAAAATATTAAAATATTAAAAATATTCCCTGTATGAAAATTAAATTTTCACTTTGAATAGAAATAACGTTTGGTGAATTCATTGAATTTTGTACAGTTTTCCTCGATCAAATTTCTCCAAGCTGTCTCGTGCGTTTCTCCATAAAACTGTCGCTTTTCTTCATCGATAGTTCTTCTCCCGGAGCAAAGTGCAAATGTACGCCGTCTGAATTATTTTTTAAAAAGTTTCCGCGTCGCGGCGACCGGCAAATCGTTAATGCTTTATCGCAATGCATCGCGCGGCAATGCGAATCAGGGTAGTTTGACGTTCGCTTGTTCGACGCAACCCCGAATTTTGAACGAAACGTCGCGTCGGGTAAATTCGTCTTGTAGCGGCGCATTTCTTGGCGAATAAACTTTTCAAGAACGACGAGATGCTTCGCGAATTATACGCGATAACAAAACTTAAGAATTCATGGATAAGAACTCTTTGCTTTCCGGACGCAGCAAATGAACATGGAAAAGATTTTGAAAGCTTCGAAGAATACCTCGACGATGATATTAAACTGTAATCACTAATAAGGCAAGAAACGTAATTAAAAGAGATTATATAATTCCTCGAGTTAATTATTACGTTAAATGTCAATTTAAAGTGCCGTTGACACGTCATTCCTGTAATTTTTCAGAATCTTCCTTGTGCAGATTTTAAGAACAGCAGAATCGCGACGGAGAGACTGATTTTTATTTTCATATCGCGCGACAATCGATTCTCGATAATTTGCAATAATTTGGCAGAATCGACAACACGAGCAATCATTTCTTCTCTCGCTCTCTCTCTCTCCCTCTCTTTTTCTCTCTGTCTCTTTTATTCTAATTTGTTGGCAATTTCCGATCGTATTCACTCGTGTCCTCCAAATATATGATCTTCGATTACGGCGTTAAAGTGAAATTACGCGCGATACAATGACAGATATGAATATTATATGACTAACAAAATGAGATAATTTGATCGCATTTTCGTTGGACACGTCAGTAATTTGTTAGCAATTTGGCCACTTCATTCTTAGTTACAAATTATTCGTTAGAAAGTTACTCATGATCCAATTAAAGAATTTCACAAATGTTTACAGAACAAAGAATAAGAATTTTATACACATTTTTTACATAACTTTTCCTTTAAATTATTTAATTTAAATTCCATTATAATAATATAAAAAAAGGTTACAGCATTGATTAATATAAATAAAAATAAATTAAATAACTGTTTTAAAAAAGAGTGAAGGAATTGTGTTTTTTTCCCAATATTACGAGTAATTTCAATATAAATTGAGACATTCACACAGATATAATTTTGGTACAGCTTCAGTTTCCAAATTTTCGTAATAGACTCGTAGGTCCCAATTTGTCATCGTCAGATAAATAAATCGTCTCGATTACCGGAAGAGGCGCACAAAGTGCCTCATGGCTCTTACAAGTCGATCCCCTCTGTTTCTCTCCTCCCTCTTTTTCTCTCTGTCTCTTTCTCTTTGTTTTTCGCTCCCAAAGCTCCGGGCAATAATGAACGCGTCAATTTTCCATCTCGTCCCATCCGCCCTTACTGCTTTCGCGTCCACCCCCTTGCCATCCTTTCCGCGCCGAAGCTGTCCCTATTTTCTCGTGCAATTTTTTTTCTTTCCAGCTCGCTCCTTTCACCCGTTATCGGTCGCTTGCTAATGGCACGCGATTGCCTTTCGCGTTTATCCGGAACGGCGTTCCCGCGTCCGACGGATCTGTGGACTGCCGCCCCATATCCGCGACCTTTGCCCTCCGCGATCGTGTCGACGACACGCGTGGAACCCATCCTGACGTTTCATTTCTCGCGACGCGGATCGACATTCAGTTACCAACCCTCCCATCCGCGAACCAGTTCGTTCAGCCACGTAGCGAAATTAGTCCTTCACGAGCGGCACAGCAAAGGAAGATTTTTTGCACGTTTCTTTTATTTTCCTCCTCTCCCCCCCCCCCCCCCCCCTCTCTCTCTCTCTCTCTCTCTCTATTTTCCATTAGTCTCGCATAACAGCTTCTATATCCAAGAGCACTTAAACTTTGCCCGACCCTCTCGTCCCTCGGAGTATTGTATTTTTTTTTTTTAAATAAATATCAGAATGATTTATTTATTCGAACTGAAAAAGAGAAAGAGAGAAAAAGAACGTATATGTATGTGTCGTCTCGAACGAAACTGTCGCGTCCGACGAAGGGGTTAAATCTCTCCGAATCATCTCGGAGGGTTTTAAAAATTCAATAAAAGGCTTGGACGAGCAAATGGATCTTAAATATAACATCCCTTCAATTCGACGTGTCCCATCGATATCCCATAAGGGAGGAGGAAAAAATGGACGACGCGGAGATAAAGCAGCGAAACTGTCTCGCTCTGTCTCTCGTGTTCTCTTTCTTTCTTTCTTCTTCTCTCTCTTTTTTTAAATTTACATAATTGAAAAGAAAGAGAGAGGGGAGAAGAGAACGCGACGCGCAACGCGAAAAGTCGCGAGACGATCATTTCCAATTTCGAACTAATTTTACGGTCAAATTGAAAACGACGCAATCGTTGTTATTATTATAACCGAGAACACCGCTTATCGATCGGCAAGGGCCATTAAACTCGAAACGACAAAATATAGTTATTTCATAGATGAATGGAGGACTATTACGTTCGAATGGCTATTAACAATTTGGTGTGGCCTGGTGATCAATTATTATGTATTCATTTCTGTATGCATGTATGCACCGTACGTGTATATGTGTGTGTGTGTGTGTGTCTGCGCGCGCGCGATATAATTTAGGACCGTTGGCACTTTTTTTCCCCTCACTCACCTTCAATGCGAAGTCAACGATTCCCCTGCCATACTTACGAATTAATAGGAGCCGTCAGCTCTTAATTCAATTATAACGCGTGCCGCGCTCGAGTGGCGCGCAAGAAGAATTGAGAATGCGCGCAAGAAGCGTGAATAAAACTGGTTGTCGCCGATATCGGACTATATTTGTACGCATAGTTAAGGATCAACCGGTTGAATAACTCAGATCTGCTTAATTCCGACGCTGATGCAGGTATATAACAAGCCGCGCGCGCGCGGATGACATGGCCGTCGGGATTTTTCGTATCTCTTTCTCGCGAACGAGAACATATACATACGTTATACTCGCGCCGTGCGATCGTTGACGGATGAAAATTTGATTCACGACCGACTAATCAAGTCGCTTACTCGGCACACACCAACACGTCATTCAGACCACATTAAAACGCCACGGTGATACATGTATATGTATATTTATGCATCTGGAGAAAGATACACACACACACACACACACACACACACACACACACACCTTTCTTTTGCTCAGTAACAATGGAATAACATTTACTATTCTGCTTTCATACAGAAAGACAAACATGAAACTCGCTCCACGGACTATCCTTTCTCCAACCCTTCCACCGCTCCTCTTTGCGGTCGCCCCGGATCCTCGGATGCTCTCGCGGACTCATGGAACCGAATTCTCAATGAACACTCGATGTTCCCGAGTCCTCGAATTCACGGATCCTAGGAGCGCGCCGCGGATCATCCTTGAGAGGGCCTAAGCACAAAGATGACCGTAACTGAATTGTGGAACGCAAGTCATAGTTGTAGGTTGATCAAAACATTGTGCGTTGATCTACGACTACGACTCAGTTACAGCCATTTATGTGCTGAGGCTCAGAGTCGCGAGATTCGCTGATCCGGGATTCCTCATAAAGTCTGTGTCACACCACGTGTTACGAATGTGGATCACGGATCATGAAAAATAAAAATCATCTGTTTTGCGATTGGCAAACTGAATCATTGGCTGCTTCAAACTGATCAGGTGGTCAATGATTTATAGTTCATAATTCTATAGAATCTTAGATAATTAGATTTAACATTGAATTGATTAGATTAATTTGTCGCCGCCATTTTAGTTTCTTATAAATATTGATTGGCTATTAAAATCATAATCACTATTTAATTTCTTATTAAAATGGAGCGTAGTTAAAATCGCACTGCAAATGCTTTGAAGTACTTGATTGACTAATGAGAAGAAAGAATATTACTCTTGGCTAATCAAAAATGCTTCAAAGTATTTACAGTATTAGTTCGACCGTATTCTACATTAGCCAATCAGATTATATCCTTCTACGATTAATCTCTGATTATCTTAGGTTCTACACAATCGGAATTCAATTTGCGTCCGAAATGCGTGATGTGACACGAGCTTTAAAACCCATGTCACACTACGCATTAGAGATTGAGGATTGTGAATTGGAGATTAGAATTCAGCCAATCAGAACGAAACGGATTAAAACGATCCGACTAGTCAAGTTCTAATCTCCAATGTCCTTAATCTTCAGTATACAGTGCGACACGGACTTGAGCTCTTTCAGAGGAATCGCGGGTTAAAAGAGATCCATGGATTCTTGCGCCAGCATCCCGCTCCTCTCTTGTCACTTTTATACGAAAGAGAGAATGCGCATCTTTATGACACACTTGCATCCGCCCTCTGCCCTATTCGTACCCCCTTAGTGATATGTATGATTTATTACCAACCAGCCAGTAGCTCTAAGTTTGAAATTCGTGTATGCAACTCAGTTCCTTCCTATAATGACTTGTGTACATGCTACGTTACGTTACCCTATTTACCCTTATTAATGTATATCTGTCTTGAACGCGAAAGCGAAGCGAGAGAAAAGATAACAACGACCTATCAAAAAAAAAAGAAAGAAAAAATACAAAAAAAAAAGAAAAGGTCGTGCGACATTTAGCCATGTTCCTACTGACTAACATCGGTCTTTTTTTTCTGCTTTCAGCTGCACAGATTCCACAACGCGGAAGTAAGTACGATTAAATTACGTTTGAAAAACCACAACTGCTCCCTCAACCACCCTCCCTCCCCCCATTCCCTCCTCGCGTCACATCCTGTTCGTCCACGCCCGCACCTCTTCTCTGTAATTACGATTATCGTTGTAAGACCGTTTATCGTAGTGTAGAAGCGAGGATGCGGAACTACGCGGAAAATGTCACGGCACGCCAGTGTCGGGGTCTTTCTGTTTCATGAATGGAAACGAAAACGCGAATTGAAGGACTTGATTAAGCGGTCGGTGCAATAAGAGAATTTCACCCTTCCAGAGTCGGGACTCATTCCCGAGTTGCTTTGGACCGTATAAATCGCATCTCGATAATGACGCTTGGTTTTGGTTAGTGTAAATTCTCGCAGATAAAGAGTCACAAGTACAATTAACAATCGAGAAATGCTGTTATTATGACATATCATTTCTCTCAGAATTTTCCATCTCTTAAATCCCAGAATCTTCATAGTTTAAAATGTAGATTTGATCCTATTGTTAATAATCTTTGGGTCCCCGAAATTTCTAAATTTTTTGTGAAACTTATATTTCCCGGAATGTTTGTTAGATTCTAGAAGATAAATCTGAAAAGATCTTCGTCTAGCAACAAAAAAGTCTAAAGACCGGTTAAAAATTGATCGTATTATTTTGTTTTTCTCTATTTTTTGTAAATTGTAATTTATGTAAAATACAATGTCATTAATTAAATAATTAAGTATGTTTAATTAAAATAATTAAGGAATTAGGGACAATTAGTTTTAAGTTTTGCAAGTGGCAGTTCTTATTTATGAAAAATTATTTTGCCGAATACTAATCTCTTGTTACCATCAAAAAGGATCGAAATTAAAGTGCTATTATCGAGATTTCACCTAACGATTATCAATCTTCTCTTCTCTACAAACTTAATCAGAAACTTCCAAATATATGTACATCTCGATTCCCAATTGCATGTCGTATTTACGTAAACGAGAATGCACGCGTGAACCGCACCGTTCTCTCTCTCTCTCTCTTTCTCTCTCTCTCTCTCTCTCTCTCTCTCTCTCTCTCTTTCTCTTCTCGGTCTTTATACCTATCTCTCTCTCATGAATTCCTCTAATTTCAGCATGCAAGAGGAAAGACGAGATGGCGAACCAGGCAGAACACCAACAGCCCGCCCCCAAGAAACCGCGGCTGGTTTTCACAGACCTTCAGCGCCGTACTCTACAGGCTATTTTTAAAGTAAGTACCGCACGCGCACACACACACACACACACACACACACACACACACACACACACACACACACACACATACATATATATATATACATATATACGTATACACAACACGTAACTTCTTACCCCTTGTGATCGATAGTAATTGCCCTGTTCTTCTCTACCCCCTCTGGCGATATGCACAGGCAATTGAATATTGAGAGAACGCTACCATCGCTGACTGATCCGCTGCTTGTTAACGGGGACTAACTTTCGCGGTCGAAAGCGTATATAATATATACACGAGTTCGAACTTGCACTCATCGCATTCGATTCACGAGGACACCTGTGTCCCTTCCTGGGTCGATAGAGGTTTTCTTAAAACGTAAAGCCTCTACACAATCTCCTCCTCCATCCCCCGCGCCGAGTAAACCACGACATAGGAAACAGATGGTACACGCAATCGCGAAGTTACGTAAGAACCCCAGCGAGGCTTCTAAATACCGAACGCTAACAGTTTCGTGGGGAGAGTAACTCTTTTCCGAATAATGACTATTTACTCGAGAAGATCGCGACGAGGAAGCGCCGTCGGCGCGTCTCGTCCCGGTTTCCGCCCCTCGCGGGATGCTGTTAGTTCCAAGTAAACAGGGAAATAAATTTACCAGTGCCTTGTGCGCGCGGCCTATTATTTCTAATTTGGACTATATTCCAAAACTCCAAGGAAAATTTTACTCGAGATATATAGTACACGTGTACTATTATGGGAAGAAAGATTTGTTAAAACAATTAAAAATTTCACTGATTAAGCAAATCTACGATCGTACAGGATTGTCACTAATTTCTCATCCAAAAGTTTTAATTTAACTTTTCCTTGATTTCCAGAATCTCATGACTTTCCTTGACTTTCAATAATATTTAAAAATTTTTTTGTATTTTCGTCATGATGTGGAAAGGATTTTGTTAAATATTAGGTGTGGAAAAAAGTTCATGGCGTTTTTCCTATTAGATGGCATTAAAAAAATGCCACGAACTTTTTCCCACACCTAATATTTTGTTGAGAGATCAATTTAACATAGCAATGTAAATTTCTATTAATGTTGCTAACACTGCTTGCATTTTTGTTAAGTTGGTAGCTTGTCTAAAACTGCGTAGGTGTGACGTACGTATATTAAATTTCTTTGAAGTCAAGAATTTTTATTTTCCAGAAAATTTTGCAAATTTCCTTGAATTTTCTCTAATTTCTTGATATTTCCCTGATTTCCAGTTTTACGACAATCCTATCCGTAATACAGCAATTTTCAATGTTAAAGTAGCAAAATTGTGAATAAAATTATAATTAATTAAAGCGATTATAGGTCATATTATAATAGCACAGCAAATTTAATACAGCATAAATAAATAGTTTTCTATCATGCAAAGTCAATCAAGTACATAGATTAAAATTTTTAACAAACATGCTAATGTGTACATTTGTTGCTGCAATGAAGAAAATATAAGCAATTCTCATTGTAGCAAAAAATTAGCTGAATTAACATACTAATAATATTTTAGAGAAATAATTTCTTCGTTGAATCATCAAATCTTCTTAGTTACAGATGTTGAATTCGTGCAGCAAGCTACAGCTTTGCTAAATTGCCCAATCTATTTTTTCCCCTGCATTACATCGACTAAAATTTTCTTTGAAGAGGACATTTTAGAATGTAGCTTTGGACGGCATGGAACCAGGGAAAATCGTTTGGTCTCGAGGCTTCCCCGCGATGGAAAAACACTGTCTCTGCTGCCATATCGTACGGATACCTGAAATTCAGTTGCGCTGCGTCAACCGACCGCGCGCGGTCTCTCCGTCTATCGATCGGTCTTGAATAATTTCGCGGCCGGTTCTTTACTTATGCGCTCCGTATTTCAGCCCTGCTGATTGCAACGCCGCGCTGCTGGCGGTCGCCGTCAAGAATAGCCATTGATATTAACCGTTTCCTCATTAGCGTCGCGGGTGAGAAAAAAAATAGCGATCGCAAACGCACGTCGTTTTTCGATCATCTCATGTTTCCTCTAATCGTATCGTAGTGACGATATAGCTGGAGTTCGAATATCGTTTAGACAATTTTCTTATTCCCCATCGTTTGATTCAGGCTTACTGCGAAAAAATTTATATTTTAATTTATTATTTATTTTAGGATCTCACTCATTATTATAATAATAATATTTATATGTGTATATAATTAAATTAAGTTCATTTTTGGATTAATAAAGTGCAGATTTTTAACTGAAAATTTTTTCTTAAAAATATTTTTAAAAGTATACTATAGTTAGTCTGAAAATATCGGACAGTGTTCAAACTTAGAGTTTCTTAGATAAGAATACTGTTTGGACAATTTTTAATCATTCATTTGTTTCAAGATTACTACGAAGAAATTTAGATTTATTATTATTTTGCTAATATTTATTTTACAGACTTATTTTAGTGATAATAATATTTTTATTTGTCTCAAGAAAAGAAACAAAGAAGGAATGAAAGAAAATTAAAAATACAAAATCAGAAGAGAAAAAAATTGTGTATTTTGAAATTAATTATTATTAAACAGTTGATTTATTGTTAGAGCTAATCACACAAATGCTTGTTACATTTCTTTAGAAATAATGCCGATATTAATTTTATTAAAACATTGTGTTAACCCTAAAAGCTGTCCTTATTTTTGCTTACGTCGTTTTTCCTTTATATGCCATTTTTCTTCTAAATATTTGAATTCAACTGACGATATTTTCCTAAAGACTAATTATACTATATTTAAAACACATTTCCACACATAGTACAAAATTTGACAAATTTTAATATAAACTCAATTAGATTTATTTTTGTATGAATAAACAGCTTAAATATTAAATTAATTTGAATTATTTGAAAAGCATATTATAGTTAACCTGAAAATATCGGACGATGTCCAAATTTGTCATTAGATTTCCTCAGTTAAGAATTCTTCTTTTCGAAAATTATTTATATACTTTAGACAATTAATTTTTGAGTAAACCGCTATTTTATTTCAGTACTATGAAGAAATTTATGTTTTGCTATAATTTATTTTACAGACTTACTTATTATTACAAAAATAATATATATTTACGTAAACAATTAAATTCATATATAATCGATTCATTTTTTTTAATTAATAGACTGCACGAATGTTAAACAGAATTGAATGTTTTTGACAAGCGCATTAACTGGGAAAATGGTGAAATGATTAAGGAACTCTAACAACAGCCAACTCGAGTGACTCAATCGTAATTTAAAAGACGCGTTATTGGACCGATGAAGAATTAAAAAAAAAAAAAAAAAACAATGATGTCCATTAATGCAGTCAATCCGCGAAATCAAACTCGGAAAATCGCGAACTCCACATCTCGTTACGTCCGCGGCTATTGCGAACTACGATTACAATTACAGGCAGATGCGGAACAATGAAAAGTGATAACACGTTTCCGATGACGATAAATTATCGCATAAATAGCGACGCGGGGAGGGGAAAGAGAGGGTGGGGAGGGTGCATACGCGAAATTGCCTTTTCTGCGAAATCAACTTTTCTGCTTTGTCGCAAAAGTGATTGCTTTTAGATCGAATAGAATTTTTTTTCGCCATTGGCCACGAAGTGGGGGAGGGAGGGGAGGACGGGATGCGAGTATTACTCTTAATGATCAATTTTTTTTTTTTTTTTCGACTGCGGCACGCGCGTAAGGCCGCGGCGCAACGCACACGTGTGTTTGTCGTTCGCATCAAATTTGATAAATCTCGACGAGTCCGCTCGATCGACCGGATTATTGGAACGATATTTCATAGAACGGAATAATCCGGAATTCGATTGTAGAATCGTGCACAGGAATCACGCGTTACCTATTAGCCTGACATTCTATTTCATGAATATTTTCGGTTTGAAAGTCAATCGGAACGGACCGAAAGAATGACTTAATCGGATTGATTTAATCAGAAACGACGATGCCCAGATCGATTTCATTAAGAACTCGGACCGCTAAGTGGCAAAACATTCGACTGAAATAAATGAGTAAATTTGCCGAATTGAATATACTGTAATTTGCTGTGTATTGTGCGGTGCATGTGAACGCGTGTATGGATGAATAGAATGTCTAATTTAAAAAATTACGTATTCAATTAGTACACAAAAATATCGCTCTTAACATATTAATTACTATAGTACATGAAAAGGATGATTTTACTAAAGTATCTAAAAATTTAGCAAAGTACAGACCTGAAAATAATTTTGGACCGTCAAAATAATTATATAGGACACTTAAACTGGTTATTGTCAAAACTTTTTGCAACATTTGTTCATTGTGATTGAGAGTTATATATAATTAGTTTAATAATCCAACAAAGTTATTTTTAGAAAATGAAATTTTATTTAAGTATGACTTTTTAGATTTATAATGGTATTTTTTTGTAGATTTATAATGATATTAATTCCTTTTGTGTAATGCAACTAATAATTAACTATGAATTTAGAATTAATATTTTCTTATTAATTCAGACATTTATCCTGATATAAAATTTGCTGAATATGTTAAGTACCTAATACACTCTAAATTTCTTGCGGTGAAATCTCACTCCAAGAGAACGAAAATGCAACCATCCTTGAAAAAAAGTGACGATCTTCACTCTTTTTAGAGTGAAATCCCCCTTTTTTTAAATGACATTTCACTTCTTTGAAGTGAAAAATTCACTTTAAAAAGAGTGAAAATTGTCACTCATTTTCAAAAAGTAAAATATTTTCACTTCTTTTTTCAAGGATGATTGTATTTTCATTTTCTTGGAGTGAGATTTCACTGTAAGAAATTTAGAGTGTAAAAAAACAACGAATTCGCATTTAAGATTCTCAGAGAAAATCTTTTGACATTGATGAGAAACAAATGCGTAGCTGTTAACATCAGCCAATAGTATTGACCTCGTGTGCGAAGCTTACGGCTTTGGGAACTATGCCAAACAGTTGAGGGGAACCACGCTCGGCGCGACAATCTCGC